GAACCGGAACAGGGAAGGAAAACCAGCTGGCCGCCCAGCCTTCAGGCGCATGGCAAATCGTCATCACGGACGGGCCGTTTGCAAGTAAAGCAAGCCAACACTCATGGCATGGCCGCTTGTCAATTACGAGTCTGATTGGGAGTGGATTCCAGGGGGGCTTGGACGGCCCAATGACGGACTAGACGTGTCTGCCAAAGTGGCATTGCACATCTGTAGGCGAGATGGCAACGCAATGGTGCCCTACGAAGACCACCATAATGTGCTGGCCGAGCAGTTGAATGTCGAACTTGGGCGTGACGCCGGGTACGGTAAATCTTGGTGGTTGGGAATTCGCGGTCGGTAATAGAAGAGGTTGGTGGCGCTAGACGGGCCTTGAATTGTGCAGCTAGTGGGAATTGGGTGGGACCTTTCACTCAATTGTTAGTGCCCGTGGCACCTAAAAGTCGGTGGTTGGAGGTCTGGTACCTGCCAAGGTTAGGGGTCCTCTGTCGTCACCCCGCGAACCGAAGTGCGAAGGAAAGCTCCAGTAGAACAAAAGGGTAAACATCCCCTTGATTTTGAGTCCTAGTGTGAATACAAACCATGAACGTGTGGCCTCAGTATCGATCCTTTAGTCCCTCGAAATTTGAGGCTGGAGGTGCCAGAAAAGTTACCACAGGGATGAACTGTTACTTGAACGTTTCTTTCAAACGTCCCAGGCTGCGAATGAAAAAGCAGTCTAGTCCTGTATACTCTGTATAACGCTGGGGTATACTAGCCAAGGTAACGGCTACCTTTTTGTAAAGGGGAGGGCAAAACACCTGGCTGCTGGAAACTCTCGCTAGGTTGCTGGTACCAAGGCCGAGGCGGTAACACCCCTCGGTTGAAGCCTTGTATGTCAAAGGCGGGTGATAATCCAGTAAATAGAGACAATCAGCAGCCGACTTGGCTTATTACCTTGTATAAGGTGTTTGCTTAGCGGTTCAACGCTCGCTAAGGTGTGGTCTGCTTAAGATACGAGCTACGCCTACCGGAGACGGTACTGACAGCTAAAGCCCTGCGTAGGGAGGAACTGTTAGGGTGATGAAATTAAAGGAATCACTGGTAGTACGGAACTGGCTTGTGGCGGCCAAGCGTTCATAGCGACGTCGCTTTTTGATCCTTCGATGTCGGCTCTTCCTATCATACCGAAGCAGAATTCGGTAAGCGTTGGATTGTTCAACAGCCCGCGCCAGAGACTTTGCAATACATTTTACGGCCTGTTTTTGCTATGTGTATAGTCTTGATTATATGCGCTCGAATCCACAAAAACATTGTGGTGTTCTGTCACTCTCCGAGACAAATCTCAGGCGTATGCAGTCAACCGCGCCTTGCCAGGCCGATACATGAACCAACAGAACTTGCCGCCATAACCAATCATACATGTTTACCAGCTTCCCGGAACACTTCAGATCCTCATGACGAGATGATCCTGGCAGCCACGGTGCAACTGAGTGTAGCGAGCGGGGTTGGCGACCCGAGTCTCTGGGTCAGGGAGGTAATTTATGTAGGCACGGGAGGTAGTGCAGACTCTCGAGGCAGAGCCTCAGCTTCGAACGAGCAAGAGTTTGATACTGCCACTGTTTGCTGTGTGCGCTTTACTCACAAAAGCCTCCGCACGGAGCTAAGTACGGAGTCTTTTCCCAACTCAATAAACCTCGTACCTGTCTCCACCGAACGCAACATATCTCTCAAACTATCGTATCTACCTAGACTTGGAATAAGCTTGGCAAGGCAGTCCACATCACTATAGTTGACTCTGAGTGTTTCGATAACACTATATATCCGGACCTGGTAGTTGTCGAAGCTTGACTCGAGTTTCTAGATTTATCTTGTAAGATTCCGAGCAGACGAAATACTACACAGCTTCAACGTCAAACGGTGAATTGACGAGATTGACACTGCCCACCCACTTTCGTACCAGACCAGCATTAGCAAAGGAATTAATCTGACATTTGAGAGTCACTGGCTCATCAAAATTGTCACGAAATGTTTATCAGTATTACACTTCCACTGCCGTGAGGACTCAAGGCTATAAACTCGCTCCTAGGTATAGTAGGCCGTGGAATTGCTAACCAAACGCGTTCCTCAAGTTACTATAGCATTCTCCACAAAATACACTTTCCAAACTCTATGAATTTCGACTCTTGGGCGACCCCCCTCATAGCTGGAGGCTATACTCAATCTCCGCCCAGGTCATATAGCATGAATTCAATACCACATCATCATCATATCATGGCGAACCCACTGCAACATATGATATGCAGTCCCGGAGCATAACACCCTCCCTTCTGCCGCGGCAAGCCCAGCGTCGCATTGCTCGAAACAAAAGTGTCGCAGGCTCGCATCGTCGGTCAAGGGCAGAGACCACTCAGCTTCGACGTTTCAATGGGGCTTCACCCCGGCCAAGGGAAAACGGCCCAGAGGCATGTTCGTTTTTTTCGTTATTCCTGCATCGACTATACCACATCCACTCCTACGTCCGCCACGGCTTCGCTTATCAGCAGGCCGTCCACCGCCCACACTTCCGTCGGCCCTGCAACATGTTCCCGCATCCCGCAGTTGAAATGTCAGGCTGCTGGCAGCCGATCAGAGCAACACTGCAGACTGCGAGTATTGGCAGGATCCTGTCCGCAGAAATCAAGCCGGGTGCTGCAGATGTTTCCTTGCTACATACTGTATTACCATTGCCACGCGGTTGGCCGCAAGGGCCCTGGCAATTATATATCCCGGAATACTACATGGCCCCCGGGCTCTCATCCCTGTCCCCGGCGGGCAAGGCGGCCTTCTCGAATGCATTTTGACGTGCCTTGACGTGGTAGATATCATCCGGAAAGGGATATCATGTCGAGGCGGCCGAGGAAGGTAATGGCACATTACAAATGTACCGGGCAGTCACCTCACCTCGCCAATTGCTCGGAAAGTGCTCCCGGGTTGTCTCTTTTTTCTTGCCCTCATCGCGTTCCCTTGCGTTGTTGTCAGCCACCAACTCGACGTGAACGCTGCAAGCCAGTCTGCCCACACTGCTTTTTATTGCGTATAAAGTCACAATGGCGGACACTGCTCCCCCGTTTCCCATTGACGACAAGACGCCGCCCAAGGAGGAGTCGGCCGGGGCTTCCCAGACAACCGAGACGGACAGCCGACATGGCGTCTCCGACGACGACAACGCCGACCTGAGCCGCAAGGTGACGCGCAAGATCGACGTGGCGCTGCTCCCGCTGCTGGGCATGATGTACCTGCTCGCCTTCCTGGACCGGACCAACATCGCGACGGCCAAGCTCAACGGCTTCGAGGCGGACCTCGGCATGCCCTCGTCGGGCTACAACACGGCACTCTGGGTTTTCTACCTGCCCTTTGTCCTGCTCGAGGTGCCCTGCAATCTGATCCTCGGCCGCCGCGGCGTCCGCCCCGCCTACTGGCTCGGCGGCATCATTTTCGTGCTCGGCGTCACGTCCATGTGTCAGGGTTTGACCAAGTCCGCCGGCGGCCTGTACGCCTGCCGGGCCCTCATGGGCGCCGTCGAGGCGGGCGTGCAGCCCGGAGCCGCGCTCCTCATGGCGCAGTATTACAGGCGGTCCGAGTTCGCCCCGAGGTTTTCGTTTTTCATATGCTGTGCTTTGATCGGAAACACGTTTAGTGCTGTGAGTATCCGTGGAACAGGATAATATGAAGAACTCTCCCCAATTGGCTGACCTTATGCTGGGATACAGTTCCTCGCGTATGCCATCAGCCACATGGACGGAGTCCACGGTCTCGAGGGATGGCGGTGGATATTCATCCTGGAAGGAATCGTCACTGGCTGTTTCGGCATCGTCCTCGCCATCTTCACCCCGAGCTGGCCGGAGAAGGCGCGCTTCCTGGACGAGCCCGAACGCGAGTATCTGCTGCGCCGCCTGGAGATTGAGCGAGGAAAGGAGAATCTCGACATGCAGGATGTCAACTGGATCAAGTGCATGCTCAACTGGAAGACGTGGGCTATGTAAGTCTCTTCGCGACACGATTTCGTTTCCCGTACTGACCAGACCCAATCAAGCACCTTTGTCTTTTTCTGCTGCGACATGAGCGCGGCCTCGACCGTCTCCTTCTCGCCCACCATCCTCTCCCAGCTGGGCTACACTGGAAACCGAGCAAACATCATGCTGATCCCCATCTATCTCGTCGGCGCCTTCATCATGGTGGCATCCGGATGGATCGCCGGGCGTCTCAACAACCGCTCCGGCGTCATCGCCTTTGGCGCGGCCATGTCCATTGTCGGCTGGGCCATCCAGCGAGCGCAGGTGCAGCCGGCCAGTGTTCGATACTTTGGCCTATACATGATTTACTGGGGCGCCAACATACAGATGCCCAACTGCGTCGCCTGGTTTCACAGTAACGTGCTCGGGCGGCCGGAAAAGGCCGTCGGCATGGCCATCATAGCTGGCTTTGGGTAAGTGATTGGCTCCGACCCTGTGATGATCCAGCAGTGACTGATTCTCTGGTAGCAACTCGTGCAATTTCGTGTCTTCAAACGTATTTATTACGTCCGAAGCACCACGATATCCGACGGCCTTTTCTACAGGCCTTGCCATCCAGACGTTAGGGTTTGTCTCTTGTTTAACACTTGCGGCATTCTTCTTTTTCCAAAACAAAAAGACTGGTACCCAGAAATATTACTTATAAGTCAATTTTCGGGATCAACGTGATAGACACCAGGCCGTAGATTCTACGGCGAGTTAATAGTTCAATATCAATAAACATATACTACCTGCCTATTTGATGTTCGTCAGGATTCAGGACGCCTTGGTTGCCAAGAGATGTCCCAGTATCTCTTGTATCCACTTCCGACACGAGTATATTGAACCACCTCTCCTTTTCTCGTCTCCCACCACAATTCAGTGTTCCATACCGAAGAGGACCAAGGTAATGTAATCTCGTATCAAGTGGACCACGTACGTATTAGAAATCTTTCAAGAGAAAATCCTTCCAACAAAGCACCTCAAGCCCGCTTGGCTCATCGGTAGAGCGCCTCACTAGTATCCCATCCCAGGAGCAATGAGGAGGCAATTGGTTCGACTCCAGTAGTGGGCAAGAATGAGCAGTTCTTGCCACCAATCATACGGTCCTCAATAGGCCGACCGATTCTTTTTTGCTCGTGACATGCTCTTTCGACAATCTTTTTTTTTTTTTTTTTTTTTTTTTTTTTTTCCCCCAAATCCTACGAAGAACCTCTGCACTGCGTGATGTTATGCGTGGAGGATGATCGCAAAGATATTACCACTTATGATTCAGAATTGAAAGCAATGCCTACGACTGAACAGAGTCTATCCGAACTAACAAAAATCCCAGCACCTTGTTAAATCATCGCAGACCCTCAGCTCGACGCCGCCGCCGCCCCAGCGTCCTCGACCATCCGCACGACGATCTTGTCGTGTATCTTTTGCCAGTTGGCCTCGACGCTGCTCTTGACGATGCCCATGAGCATGCGGTTGCACGAGACGTAGACCTCCTCGACGAGCTCGAGCCCCTCCTTCTCATCGCTGCCGCTCTTCTCCCGCACCGTCCACGTCGTCTCCATGACGACGGCCATGGGGCTGCGCACGCGCACCCACAGGCCGTCGGCAAAGTCGACCATCTCCTCGCGGCTCGTCACGTTGCTGCTGTACACGGGGTTCGGGACGTGGTCCTGGACCTCGTAGAGCTTGACAATAGGACTCCCGCCCGCCGCCACCGCCGCCGGCACCTTGTACGACTCGAAGCTGGGGGGCGGGTCGCTCGGCGCCACCGCCTTGTAGCCCGTTAGGTGCGGGTCGCAGTGCAGGTAGAAGTCGTGGTCGTGGAGGCGCGCGACGGCGCCCTGCCTCTTGCTGGCCGGCAGCGGTATCGGCGTCGCGTTGCGCAGGGTCGCGGTCGTGTTTAGGACTGCGGTCGGGTCGCGAGCGTTAGCATTCTACATGGAGACTTGAACTGGACGGCGGACCGAGGTCGGTCTCGGCTCAACCTGTTGGTATACCTATGTATATCTGTAGGTTGTACGGGGGGTCATGATCATGGAGGGAAGTAGACGGTGAAAGGGCGGAGCGTCTGCGGGGCACAGAAGGACGAATCGCGGGGGTTGACTTACACGACATGTCTATCTGTATTCCAACGTAAAGGCAGAGAAAAGCACTCGTTGAATATGCACCCTATGAGAATATGTAACCAACCTTTTGGGTATAGAAATCTATTTTATTTTTCAAGTTGTAAATACTAGGCGCGCCACGAAAAGACGACGAAACCGATACTGTGTTGTATCTAAGCGTAGGACATCAGCTCTCACTAGACACCGGCCCGTGACACCCTGGATTCTTAGATCTGATCGCCCGGGACGAAGCGCTCCCGGCTTGACCTCCTCACTAGACAATATATATGGCCAACATGCCAGACGCGCAAACATATTGGAATGTATCACCAAAGAGCAGTGTTTGAACATTATTTTGTTTGTTTATTTTCTTTCATCAATCAGTCTGCTCGTTACAGACTACTATCGCTGGGTAATGGGTATCTCGGGATGACATTATTTTCATTTTTCATACAGTCAAAAGATGCTTCATCGCAAACTGCCACATCCTGGCAATGGGCTGATATCCCAATCTTTCTTTCAGTCCAGCCCCGAGTCTCTTGGCTGCTAGTCCAGAGTGATGGCAGTATTGCTCGAGCTCCCCGATTGCGGCGGCATTGGCCGAGCTCGATTCGCCTGCGCCGACATTGCCTTGGCGTTGCTCGGCTTCGCTGCCGCTGACATCTTTGGCGTCGGCTGCGTTTTCTTGGACGCAACTGGTGACATGGACTTTGGCTTTTTGGCAAATTCTCTCACTGCCTCGTCCACCCCCTCCAGGAGCCCAATATTCATGTCGTCGGTGCTACTGCTGGCGCTGTCTCCAAAATTATACCAATTGGCATCCGATCGATTCCAGACTTGCACCAATACTGCGTTCAGCTCATCGTTGGGGTTTGAGTTGGGTCCTGGCTCTGCTCGAGTGACATGCCAGAACGGAACGCCACGCCGCTCCCGTAACTTAATAGCGATGCGGTAGATTCGTGGTGCAGCTTTGTTTGATCCAGAGACGGTATACCTGATGGTGAACCAATCAAGAGTGGCGGGGAAGATCTCCACGTATCCTTGACTGACGCTATCCAGCTTGCCCCAGGAATCTTCAATCTGGTCAAGTGCCTTCAACACGGGCAGAGTACATGCCAAGTATTGAGGCAGCTTGCCGAAGCCCAAGGAGGAATTGATGAGGTTGTTGAATCTATCAAGAACCCGCAAATGGGGATTCCCCCTTTCCAGAGACATGGTGATCCGGTCAGAGCGTAGATCGAGAGAGGCCTTCCAGTGTTGCAGGTTTGCATTTGCACTGTTGGCAGCGGTGCGACCGATGGCATCACTGTAGGTGAAGATGACTTGTCCTAGAGTGATTGTGTCGCATTTGAAATCCGACGTGCTGCGTCTGACAGCGTCCACGCAGTCCACCAGTCTTTCTATAGCATGGATACGGCTGGCCAAATCGTCTATCAGGGTGCTTCCCAGTTCGGCCCTGAGCTGTAGGGCGAAAACACCAAGCCGTGCATTATAGGCGACGTCTTGCTCGACATTTCCAATGAGCAATCCGAATTTGGCAGGATCCGCGACTTGAAAGCGTGCGTCGACCACAACAGAGAGAAGTGGCTGTTTTTGTGCTTGGGCCTCACTCTGCTCGATTTGCTTTCGTGCTCTTGGTGAGTTTTCGATGCGCTTGAACTTGATGTAGACGTAGTCTTTGGCCCAAGTGACACTTTTTCCAGCCTCTGTGGGCTGTCCGGCTAGAATGTCAGAGAGTCGTACTTGAATGGTTGGGAATTTCATGTTGGGTGGTAGGGTAAAGACCATTTTATGGTCAGTCTTGTACTTGATGCGTCGTTGGTGTAGAGTCGTCATGTCGGTGAGATTCGAGATGGCTGCAGCACTGAAAATGGTCAAGCTTGCAAAGAATGTGTCGTTGAGGACTGGTGATGCAGTGGTAAGTGGGATATGGGCGTGCGCCGCTATACGAGGTCCCGTGGGCGGGTTGACGCTGTGAAAAGTCAGTATGTGGGATCCGCATTCCGAAAGGAGTACTTACACCTCCATCAGCCACCACTTATCCCCAGCCAGACTCAGACTCAACATGATGTACCATTGTGCAGGCCAACCCTTCCTCCTGAACCACAAGTTCTGGGATGCCTCTTTCGACTTGGTCACGCTTCGAATCTCGTCGAGTTTCACCGGACTGCGAGAGTAGCTCCATCCCATGCTTCTGCCTCTGCGACTCATATCTTCGGCCGCCCAGGCGAAGCGCACGCCTTCGATGGCAAGTATACCTTCTTCGGTAGGATCCTTTGCCTGAGTGTTCAGTCGTGATTCTCCCTTGAACGTCGCTAGTCTCTGAGGTGTCATTGAGAAGAAACCAGTGATTGGTGCTATCCGAAGAGTGACGTAGTCGCCTTGTGCAATCTGTACACGTAGGCTCGACTCGATGGGTTCGTCTGCAGAAATGTCCAGGCTGAGTGCTGCTTCCCTCTTGAGGTACCGGCCCTTGGTCTGGAGTTTTCCGTGAATCGTTGACAGTATATATTCCACATGCCGAGCGATGACTCGCTTGAGTAGCTTCTCCGCAGACACATTCGAGTCATCAATGGGAATGTGTGCTTCCTTGACTTCCTTGTGGTCCCTGAACCAGCGCATTGAGAGGTGACTCGTGGCATCACTGTCGACCGTGGTAGCCTCAGACTTCCTGCCACTGTGTACGCCAATGATGATCCAACTTTTTGGACTTTCCGTTGGGTATCGGTTTGTCCAGTACTGTATGGACATGCTTCGGTTCAGGCGCTCGATCTTTAACGTGTTTACCCAACCCGCCTTTGCCAGCTCGCGTGCCTGCCTGACAAACTCGCTGATCTTGTGAGTCAGGACGTACTCGTGTAGAAAGTCGTAGCATCCGCGCAATCCTTCCTTTTCGAGGGCCTCGTTGACGCGAGCCTCGAGGAAGATACGCAGAGCCTCGGTCAACTCGGCTGGCGCTGGCGTGAATGCAAACCGAAAGTCCAAGAACCAGAATTGCTGCTCAAAGTCCTCGTCGGCTATCGTAAGGTCCACCTCGAACTCCCCCTCGACCTTGAACGTCACACGGCCTGACTCGATGGTGTAGTCGCGGAAAGCAGGAGGTATCTTGTCGTGGTCCTCCAAATTCAATCGAAGCGAAAGAAGCGTGTTGATCTCCCCGATCCATGCCAGCTGTTCCTCGGCGGTCAATGGTGGTGGAACAATGTATCCTAGGTCAGACATCCACGAAGCACTGCCGGTAGACAGGACTTGCAGCGCCGTTTGGATATCTGGGTTGGGCACTTGCGAAAAGCAAATGTCGTGCGCGATGTTTGCCATGTAGGTGAGGCCGTCGTCGAATGCCTTGCGCTCCATGTTGACGTAATTCATCAAGTCGATCAGCTTGCTGACGGTTGGTGCTTTGCGGCTCCAAGAAGCAATAACGAGCGCCTTAGTCCATCGACCATGCATTTCTTGGATGAAATTCAAGAGTGCCGACTTTTTGCTTAGGTTCTCTACCGATGTATCGTCGGGGAGACTGACGGCAAGAGACGAGTTGCCATTGACAGCAGGAGCCGAGACTGGCATCTTGGCCAGCTCTAGGAGCTTTGCCGTCAGCTGGTTATGCGACCTCTGCGCAAGGCGCGACAGTAGGACGCCGAGGGGGACATAGCCCTGGGTGATGTGTTGTATTTCGTCGGGAAGGTCGTTCATGCGCGGTGGCCGCGCGACGGCATCGTGGTCGCCGGGCAGGCCATTCTGGATGCCGTTCTCCATGGCAACGACTCCAGGCATCCTACGATGCCGAAATCCAGAGTAGAGGCCAGTAGTTGTCGCCTGGTCGATGCAGGACAATCAAGGGCGATTCGAGTGTCGGGGGTGGACGGCTGGCGGATGCGACTGCGAGTGCACTGTCGACGACTCGGTGCTTGGGGAAGGCGACGCCGAAACGCAGAGTCGAGGGCAGGAACCGTTGTCTGGTCGGCGCAAG